TCGCCATGAGGAACACTGGATGGACCCAAGTAGGATGATCCTACAGAATAAAAGGTCTGTTCTCTTAAAAACTGTCAATGTCACAAAAAACGAGAAAGGAGTGAGGAACTGTTCCATACTCAAGGAGACTAATACATGATAATTCAATTCAATGTAAATTCCTGTGTAAGATTTTGGACCAGAAAAGGAAAAAGATATTGTTGGGACAGGTAATGAGATTTTAATGGGGGTCTGGTTTGTATCAATGTTGGTTTCCTGACGTGTAGGACTGTATCATGGTTGTAAAGGAGATCACCTTTGTTCTGTGGACACATACACTGAATACTTAGCAGTCTGTAGCCTCTTAACACATTGTTCATGAAAAGACTCAACAACAAAAAAAAACATACCTAAATACATACAGAGAGAGAGTGAAAGCAGATGCAGTGAAATTTTAACAACTGGGGAATGAATGAAGGGAATATGGGAATTCTTACAACTTTTCTGTAATATGAAATTATTTCAAAATAGATACGATAACATTCATATTCATATTCTTAAAAAGATGAAAAAGTATGTTCACATAAAACCTTATACACAAATATTAATAGCAGCATTATTTATAATAGCCAAAGAGTAAAAACAATAAAAATATCCATCAACTGGAATAAACAAACACAATTTTATACATCCATATGATGAGGTATTATCCAGCAATTAAAAAGCAAGCATTGACACATGCTACAATAGAGATAAAACTTGAAAATACCATGTGGGAGCATGGTATTTTCAAAGCCACCAGTCACAAAAGACCACAAATTGTACAATTTCACTTACATAAAATGTCCAAAATGAAGAAATTCATACAGACAGAAAGTAGATCAGTTGTTTCCAGGGGGTTGAAGAGATGGGGAATGACTACTGATGAACACGGAGTTTCTGGCTGATTGATAAAAATGTTCTCTAAGTGATTGTGGGAATAGTTGTACAACTCTGTGAATACACTAGAAACCACCATAGTGTACACTTTAATGGGTGAATTTCATAGTATCTGAAATATCTCATTAAACTTTAAAATAAAAATAAATTTCACACACAACATAAAGTAAAGCTATAAAGGTTTCTAAGCCGTTATAGGCACACGAGTGGCACACAAGCAGATAGACAGTAAGAAAGGAACTCTGAAGTCTTTCACTAAGCAAGAAGAGCCACTACATGAGTAGTTCCACCAAGTGACAAGGCTTCCATTCTGTTTGCCTAGGTCTTGTCCTTAACTCTAGGTCGCATTTCCCCTAGAAGTATAGGAGGCAAACTAGGGTGAAGGTTAAAAATCTGGGTCTACCTCCAAATTGACTGGGTTTGAATGCAAATCTACTATAACCCATGTGACCTTGGGTAAATTACTTAACCTCTCCATGAGCTGGTATACAATGGGAATAACTGAATGAGTTGTTGTGAGGAGTAAATTACATAAGTCATGAAAAGTGCTCTGAAAAGTATCTGTCACTTATTGGTCTTCATTAGAAGTTGGTTATATTTTTTTAAAGACTTTATTTATTTTTAGAGAGGGGGGAGGGAGGGAGAAAGAAAGGGAGAGAAACATTGATGTGAGTGAGAAGTAGCGATTGGTTGCCTTTTGAGGGAGAAACATCAGTTGGTTGCCTCTTGCATGCCTCAACAGGGAACAGAAGTCATAATCCAGGCATGTGCCCTAACCAGGAATCAAACCAGTGGCCCTTCACTTTGTGGGACGACACCCAACTGAGCCACCCTGGTCAGGGCTGGTTATGTTTTTTAAAAAGTCTTACATCAGCAGGCTTTTTCTTCCTTAGAATGCCCTAATGCACTTCATCCTCCCATTTATCTGTGGTCATTTCCCTATTAGATGCTACCTCCAACTAATCAGACACAAGGAGAATGTAATACTGGCCAACCCTATGGTTCACAGATAGAGTCTACCCGATCTCCAATAGTCCTTTTCTGTGCTCCATCTCTCCCTATCATCTGCCCACTGTGAGGATGGTAGCACATGACTCAGAAAATGTTTTCACGGGCCATGTTCATTGCTGTCATCCCTTCATGCTGTCATGGATTGACTCCAGCCTGCATAAGCATCTTGGCTTTCTGCAGACTGGCCAAGAAGAAGAGAGGTTAGGAAGGCCTAATCACAAGGACTGATACTCATCTCATTCTAGTAATGCGCTAGCCCCTGTGCTTAATTGGTTCATGTCATCTTCTATTTGAGCCCTCAGTGCCTAGGACACTGCCTGACGTACTATAGAAGCTTAAAATGTTTGTCACATTGCTCAGCTGTGTGATGGAACATCACTTCTCACATGGAAGTAAATGTGAGAATGAACCCTCTTCATGCAGAGTCCTGCTTCTACTTGCAGAACAACTCAGAAAGTTTGGGAGTCAGTTAATTCTGGTTCTGCCATTTGGGAGCTCTGTGACCTTGGAAACAGGCACATAACCTCTCTGAGTTTTGAATCTCCACTCTGGAAAATGTAAAGTGTAGGTAAAAATAACACCTATTCTGGCATCATTATTCAGATGCAATGAAATAAAGTTGCAATGCTGAATATATGAGGTATAGTAGATATTCAATAGCTGATAATTACCATTATTGTCCCCTAATCCATTCTTCCAAATAACCTTTGTAAGAAGTCAACCATATGTTTGTTTCCAACTTAAAATAAGTAAAGCAGTAATTGCAATTCAAAGTGGAGTAGTGGAAGTGGCAATGAATTGGGAATTGGAAACGTGTCTCTGGCTTTCGTTGCGCTAACTCTATGAGCAGCTCCGTAACCTTGGTCAAGTCACTTTGTCTGGGAAATTCCATACCTCAAATTAGAGAATCCATACCTCATATTAGAGTTGATCTCTGAGGTCTCTAAGATTCTCTTAATCTCTGTGAGACTAAGAGATTGTGTTGAGGAAGTATTATCGTTGGTTTGATTATTTTTAAGCAAAATATATGGGGCCATTGGAAAATACATTTATTATTAACTCATTTCATAATTAGGTGTTATTCATTTATTTCAAACTTTGTGAAACACTTCCTCCATAATTCATAGAAACTTCGTTAAAATCTACAAAAGACTCAAACCTACCACCTAGTGGTGAAGAGGGGAAGTTTCAGGTTGATGATAGATGTCCTGCTATCACATGTGCAGGATGGCTGTCCATAGCAATCTTTTATCTCATGTTTGTCCTCTCCCCTCACCACTCAGGATAGTTTTATGTACATAGAAATTCAATTCCTCATGACTTAATAGCTTGTTCATTTGACAGTACTCCTAAGCCAGTGAATTATCATGGACTTTCGAGAGCTGTGGAAAATTATTGGTTTTTAAAATGTGGGAGCAGAAGGTGCTTTTCTATTCATACAATCTCAGACCACCCCTGACAAAGAGGCCACTCAGTCAATCTCTCTTTTGTTTTAGATTTTTAAAAAATATGTTTATTGGTTTTAGAAAGAGAAGAAAGGAGGGAGGGAGGAGGGAAAGGAGTGAGAGGGAAAGGGGAAGAGAAATAAACTTCAGTTGGTTACCACCCTGCCACCCATACCGGGGCTGACCTGGGAGTGAACCTGCCACCTAGGTATGTGCTCTGAACGGGAATCAAACCCCCAGCCTTGATGTACGGGATGATGCTCCACCCAACTGAGCCAGACGGGCAAGCGATTAGTCCATCTCTATGAACAGACACACCATTTCACAGGTGCGTGGTGCAGAGAACCCAGACCACTACCTTGGAAAAGACATAAATCAGTACACCAAAGGGATCCCTGATGCCAATTTCTTACTTAATGAATTTGTTTTTACCTACTACAGTAATTGAAATTAAGTCTTCAAATTTAAATTTACATATGTAAAAACAGGAATGCGCTGTCCTTAATCTTAAACCCCAAAAATGGGGAAGAGGCCAGCATCCCAGGGTAGTGGGCCTATTTGGTAAAGAGGGATTTATTTTCCCTTGTTTTTCTTTTGGTTTTGTATGCTACCGGTTTGCCCCACCTTCTTTCTCCTTTCCCCTTTCGTTTTTTCTTCTCTCTTTTCACTTTCAAGTAATAGTCAAGTAATTAAGATCAGCGTGTTTGAATGGAACAGGTAGTCCGTATGCAGGGTGATAGAATTATTCTAGGTTTCCACCTGATCACCCCCTTCGAAAATATTTCTCTTCCAGTCTTTCCTGAAATACGGAATTAAGCTATTTCCAGTACTCGGCTGTAAGTATTGTTAATTAAGCCTTCTTTTGAAATGTCTTTCTCATTTTAGCACAATTTTTTTAAACCCCCTTCCACACAACAGAGAAGAGGTTCTGAATCTGTCAGCTCGAGAATTTCACCTATGATCAGTCTTGCTAGCAGAAACCTGATTTTTTGTTTATGTACATGAAGACTTGGTTACAACTTTAACTGGATTTTCTAATGTTGTCTAAGCTTTCCAATGACTTAATAAAATCTATCCGTTCACCTTTTTGAAATTTAGGGCTCCGTGCCTCCATGGGCATCGGGCTTAATTTTGCTTCTTAAACAGACTCCTAGGAGGAGCAGTTTCCACGGAGTTCAGAGGACCAGTTTCCAAGGAACTTGCAACAGTTGGTGTCTGGCGATAGGCAGGTTGGAAGTGATAAATGGGACTGGTTTAAAAAACAAAAAGCCTCGGTAAGGAAAAGGAAGGGGCAGCCGTGGCCTTGGTGGACTGGGCGGCCGCGGGAGCGCGAAGTCGGATGGGCTGAGCTCCGGACGGGGGAAGGCACCTTCCTGGACGGCTAGAGGAGGCGGCAGGCATGGCCAAGGGATGGGGTGAACGCAGTCTGGCCGGCTGCCCAGCGTTGTGAGCAGGGAGAGTGTGCACCCAGGTTGCCCCCTGGGCCACGACGGGGCCAACGAGAGGTGACACCAACCCTGTCCCGCGTCGCCCCTGGCGGGAGGTGCGACGCCCAGGCCGCGGGTGCGTGCGCGGCCCCGGGGCGACGCGTCTGGGCGTGCGCGGGGCCGCGACGGAGGTAGGGCCGGGAGGGCGGCAGAAGATGGCGAGGGTATGTAGGCGGCAGCAGTGCTCCGCTGAGAGACGCGGCTTTCGGCAGGAACTGGACTCGTGGCGCCACAAGCTCATTCACTGTGTAGGTGAGATCCTCTCCCAGCCACCTCAGGCCTGCAGGCCGCCCCGCCGACAGCCGCCCTGGACGTGGGGAGGGAGCCGGGGCAGAGGCAATTGCTGCTTCGGCCCGCCCGCCCTCTTTGGCTCCGGAGTTCCCCCCTCCCCCACCCCCTGGAGTGCTGGCGCTCGCGACCTCCAGGCGGGCTCTCCGGGGCACGGGCCTGAGAGCGCGCACCGGCCCCTCCCCTCCACGCACCCTTCCCGGGGCGGGCTCTCGGGCGGGAGAGCCTGTCTCCCCAACCTTTTCGCCTCCTCTCCTTCTCCGGCTGCTGGGCGCCGCCACCCGCTTATTGTGGAGACTCGCCTGGCAGTGCTGCCACTTGACCGGTGGGCGCTGCCACGGTCCCGCAGAGCCCTGCGCGGGGCTGGGTGTGTTGGGCAGTCGCTGGGTCCCATCCTCCGCTCTTCTGGGCGCCTTCCCCATTCCGCGCGGCCCCTCCCCCACGCGCGGCAGTGGCGCGCGTCCCAGGTCCCACGTGCACGCGCGGCGGGCTGGCGGGCGCTCGGGCGCGTGCGAGGCGTGAGGTGGAGATGGGGGCGGAGGGAGCCGGAGCTGTCACAGGCCCGGGGTCCGCCTGACCGAGCCAAGTGGGGTGTCATGGCCGCGGGGGGCAGCGGCTGCACTTCCTCAGCGGCCTACGGTGGTGGTGGCGGCGGCGGCGGGGGAGTTAATCCTCGACGCTCGGGTCGGTGTGTGTATTTGTGTTTGGTGTGTGCTCGGCGGGAGGGAGGGGGGTGGGACCGGGTCGACCGAGACTAGACCGAGACTAGTCGCTCTTGTCGCCTCCCGGGGGATTTGCCGGAGCCGCCGCCTCGCCCAGAGCCTCGTTCTCACCTCGCCTCCCAGACCTTGGGCTGCCCAGGGTTGGCTTTTTCCCCACGGGCAGGAGGGAGTGTGGACTGGGGCGCCCCGGGAGGGGCCGGGCGGCCGAGCTGCGCCTCTCATACTGTGTGTTTTGTCTGTTCTCTCCCAAGGTCCCGTTTCCCTCTGTGCGGCGGCCGGCGGGACCATAAGGGCTTAACTCATATATTTAACCCCCCTCCAAAAAGTAAGTGGCCCGTGTGGTGTCTCCGCTCCGCCCGCCGCTCCCTAGCCCCAGTGCATCCTTGTGTCTGACTCTCCTGTCCTTCAGTATTGTTATTTCCCCGTCTTTGCTTCGGTGCTGCTCATGTGTGGGGAAATGCTCTCTCGTCGTCCTTCGTCCCCCACGCCCAGTCCTCGGGGACGCCCAGAATTCCATCCCCGGCCCCACCCGTGGGGAGTACTCTTAGGAACCAGGTCTTCCCCGACAGAATCCAGGAGATTCTATCCGTTCGCTTGGGCCCCTCATCCCCTCCTTCCCGACAGGGTTTCGTTGGAGGAATTATGCAAATCCTGCTTTCTGGTGTCCATTCAGCGGCAATTTCATGCGGTGAGAAGTTCTCTTTGTTGTGCGAGGGGGAGAACAGACACTGATTTAATAGACATATCTGTTGGGGGGAAGGGTGAGGGGGTGTTGGAGAGGCTCAGTTTGGAAGAATTACAGCACTTGGTTCGCTCAGTGTCTTTGTGTTTGAGCTTTCTGGCTTGACAGGAGGGTATGCCCTTTACAATGTCCCACAAGAGATGTTTTCTATAATGGGTTATAAAGCAAAACTGAAACTTTAAACAAGTCAAAAATAGGGTAACCTTTACTTAGAGAATATAAGCACTTCCATCTCTGCAGTTCCATTATGAAAACGCATGTGGATTTTGTTGAAGATTTGGACTGTTTAACATGAAAATTAATATATAAGCAACAATACTCTGAGGTATCTGATATCACTTTGGTTGTCCAAAGGTTAAAAGTACATTTCAAAACATATGCTTGTGTAAATACTAAAGGCATGAATCAGATTTTTGTTATAATTTGTCTGGTGGGTATATTTTAAAATTTTCCTCCTGCCAATCCAAGCCCAGCTCTGCCCCAGGAATCAGCCTTTGGTTTATCAGTTATCATTTACTCTGCTCTGTCTCCACTTGTTTTATTCTTTCAAACCTATCATATACACTTGCTCTGAAATGTTACATCTGCCTAAGCACTTTCAAATTATGTATTATTTGTAGCCATCATATAAGAGAGTTGTAAAAGGCATTTAGAAGGTTTTGAGAAGGAATGAAATTAATGAGTTTTCAGAATTGTAAGCTAATACAAAATTCTTAAATTATTTTGAGGAATTTTTAGTTTTTGTATTTGCTTCACTTTTTAGCGATTGGGTTCTTTTAGTAGGACTTTCTTGTTTTTAAATGATTTTGAAATTAATGACCATAGTCCTATACATTTCTTAAGTTACTGTTGCTTTTACTTTTGATGGTTTTAATGAGTTGTTTATCTTATTTTAATTCTGTTTGCTTTGAATCCTAGCCTTCTGCCTCAGGCCCCTTTTTATCAGTAATTGCTAGTGTTAGTGGTTAGTTTACTGCTGCTTGACAAGGGTTTTTTAAAAATGACTAATAAATCCTGTAAATATCTGAATTCAATATCAAATTTTAGATTATTTTTGAAGGAAGATATTAATCTGGTGATTAGTTTTTTTTAAAGCATACTTTTAACTTCAAATTTCCTTTTTCAAGGTGGTAAAGTTCAGGAGATGATTAAGAGTCCGGAGTGCAGAGCAGTATTTTAATCTGAACAGTGTTATATGGTTGATAGTCTACCAACTAAGATCATTTGGGTCTCATATATTCTCTTTACTATACAGGGTGTGGCAAAAGTAGGTTTACAGTTGTATGTGAAAGCATTTGTTCTTATTTATTATATTATTTTCATATGAAAGCATTTATTCTTATATTATTGTTTATTATTATTTTCCATATGAACAACTGTAAACCTATTTTTTCCCCACCCTGTATGTAATTTAAGAGGAAAGTTACGAGAAAATCAACTGTATTGGTAACTTTCTGTGTTTAAAAGGGCTGGCCACGATCCTTACAGTCCAAAAGACAACTATGCATAGTGTTTGTCACTAACAGATGATGCAATAATTTCTCTTTTTTTTTTAATGGGATTTGTTTTGAACAGTTAATCTTCTGTTTGATTCTGTTGACTGATTATGTTAACATTTTGAGGTCATTTATTTTCTATATTTATCTTACAGCAGTTACAGGATTAAAAATGAATTCTCATTTCCGAAATTTAATTCTCCCTTCCATTTTTGTTTAAGGGGGAGGAGGACAGGTTCAGACTGTGGAGGTAGAGGTGTTGGTGTTTCCATTACTAGGTTTTATTTGAATTATAGTTAGGAGCAGGTTCAGACAGTGATTACAGTCAAGATGAATATTTGGTCTCCAGGTGATTATTGAGGCATCCCCTGGAACAAGGATGATCAGTTCAGATTGACGCTCTCTGTGCTGCCCGGTGTGATATAACCTATTGCTTGGTTGCTCCTCATTCTTGCTATATTCTCAAGAAGCTCTTCTCAATTAGGGAAAGGTGATTTCAGCTTAGCTCTAGCTTAGCTGAAGGATAGCAGGATGAATCTCCTTGACTTAGACAGAGTTGTTATTTCAAATTGGCCTAATTCCCTCCAATGTGCTTGTAGCTGGAGCAGTTCTAAGAAGCATCTGAATAATGTCAGCCCCTCATTCCCCTTTTTAGTCTTATGGGACTACACAGGATGACCTGAATTTTTTTTACAAAGTGAGAATTAAGTGTTCAGTGTCCATGGGGATTTGCCATTTCTGAGTACTTGCCTAATCACTTAGTTGGGCAAGTGATTGTTTAGTAGTGTTATTTTTAGGAAGGAAAGGCAGTTAGGTAAGTACTTCAGTTAAGTATTTTTTAAGCATCTGCTTTTTACCAGGTTCTGTGGGCAAGAAGAGATATTGGGAAAGTTGTCCTAACCTTCAGGAACTTTTTAGTCCCTAGAGAAAATACAATGTATTCAATTGTAGTACAGGGCAAAATGTGACTTACCATGGTGCAGGAAAATGCTGGGGGTTTTTAGAAATGAAGGAAATGTCTTCTGATAATGAAGGATGGCTTCAAGAAGAATGTGGCACATTTTTGCTTCATTTTGATGAATGTGGAAAAGGTATTCCTGTCATGAAAAACAAATAAGCAGAAATGGAAACGGACAAGAATGTCTATTTAAACTACAGTCCATGATTCATGTAGGGGACATAGATAGATATTAGCTGTAGGATTGTAGGATAGGCTGTAGGATTTTCTAGTGCAGGTTAAAAAATGGAGTGTCTTTGGTTAGGCAGCTTGCAGAGCTCAGAGAAGGAATCTTGCTCCTTAGCTCAGAGAAGGAATGTTTCCTTTATTTAAGGATTCTGTTGTGGAACCCAATAGCAGTGACGTGGGTTGTTTTTTAAAAACACTTTTACAGGAACAATATTGTCATCCACAAGAGTGTCTCTTCTAAGTAAGCTCATTTGGAGGTTGTACATTATTTCAGTGTACAAAACCTATTTTTGGGATTTCCTAAAATCAGTTACATATTCTTTGAATATCCTTAGTATTGACAAATTTCCATCCTTAGAAGTTGGATTTGGTATTTAGAAACAGCTGAAAAATATTTTCTGTGGTAAATAAAGGTATATATAAAATAACGAGATTGGTTTTCTTTCCTGGTTTGCCAACTAGCCCTAAAACTGCAGTAAACGGGGCTTGATTTATTTTCATGTGTCTCTGAACTTCTCTGTTGACTCTTATTTATGTCTGCTTATCTGCTTTATGGAGTCTGGATATTGGGTAGATAATGAATGTTATTTTTTTGTAGTTTCAAGTTAAAAACTTATGAACACTGCTTTCCCAATTATCTTGTACTCTTATTTGCAAATATTTTTAAACTACTCCTACACTTGCCCATTGTCTTTAGGATAATTCAGTTGTGAACTGTTAGCTCATTTATTATCTGTTTTATGTGGGAAATATCCAAGTACAGTGATCCATACCCTGAATATTTTTTTTAAATTACAATATAATTTACAAACCATAAATTTCACCCTTTTAAAGTATACAGTGCAATGGTTTTAAATTTATTCACAAGGTTGTGCAAACCTCACTCTCTAATTCCAGAACACTTTCATTACCCCCCAAAACAACCCATACCCATTAATAGTCATTTCCCATTCCTCTTATGACCCGGCCCTTGGCAATCCCTAATCTTTCTGTTCCTATGGATTTGCCTATTTTGGACATTTCATATAAATATCATCATGCAGTATGTGACCTTTTGTGTCTGGTTTCTTAGCTTGTTTTGTGGACATTGGTTTTCACTTCTCTTGGGTATGTGCCTGGGAGTGCAGTTGCTGGGTTATATAATAACTGTGTTTTAACTTTTTGAGGAACTGCCAAACTTTTCCAAAGTGGCTGCAGTAATTTATATTCTGATCAGCAATGTGATTCAGTTTCTTCACATTCTTACTAATGCTTGTTAATTGTCTGTCTGTTTGATTATAGCTATCCAAGTAGATAGGTACAATATCTCATTATGATTTTGATTTGCATGTCATGACAGGTGACATCGATCATCTTGTCATATGCTTGTTGACCATTTGTATATCTTTTATTTTTTTTATTTTTACCATTTTGTATATCTTGAGAGAAATGTCTGTTCAGATCCCTAGCCTGTTTTTTAATTGATTTAGTTGTCTTTTTATTGTTGAGTTTAAGGGTTTTTTCTTTTTTTCTTTTTTAGTTTAGTTTTGATATTAGACCCACATCAGCACATATATGATTTGCATATGTTTTTTTCTCATCATGCCCTCAATTTGAGAATAATTACAGATCAGAAGATAAACTGCAGTATACAGTCAGACTTCACTTAAGTTGATAAGTTTTTCAACTTTAAGTGAAAAGATGTATAATGACACCAGTATTACCATAGGCTAATTGATATAAACAAGAATTAAGTTCCTGTGGCATCTCATCAACATCCTAATGAAATGATGTTGAATGAAACATTTTTCAGGGACCTGCTGTATCTTGTGAGGTGAATAATAGATATAGTAGTGAAGTGATTGGAATGAACTAGAATTACTCAGGAAAGGCTTTCTTAAACATCCTTTTCTGTTAATAAA